ATGACAGATGTTATATAAAAATATCTATATTTTTTTATCATACAGAAGGAGATTTTTAACACGATTTGCAGATGTACTATACGCTGCAAATCTCATACACTGTCAACTCTACTTACTGGATAACTTATTCCTTATGGCGATACAGCTTATGTGTTCCTGTGGATCACGTGCAGTGATAGTTTTTTGCGTAACCCTCCGATACTATCCTGCAGGCGCCCCTGTTGACTACACTGACTCTTACACTCACTGTGTCAGCGAAGGACTGGAGGATCTGTTCACCTACAACAATATATCTGACTTAAGTCTCAGCTTCTCTTCTTTCAGTGTCTGAGAACGAGAGCACTAAGAAGGAGGAAGGACATGCAATACGTCTTTAAAGTGACAGTTTTTCTTTACGTCTGTATTTCCCCTCCCTCTAGTGGCCATAAATGTAACATCTCTAAGGGGGGAAAAAAAGACAAAAATGAGTATTAAAAATAAACCAAAACAGATACAGGAGAATAGTCAGCTTGCGTGTTTCACATGTATCATTTTTTTTTTTTACCTTCATTCTGCAGACAGCATTGACAGCCAGTGTCAACTGCTTTAATTAGGGGGTCATTCGCTGTGATGATAAGTTTTACTGCCCAAGTTGCTGCAAGGGACCCGGAAACAAGTGGAAGTGCTGTCCTTATACCCACTGGTATGATTTGCACATCTATACAGAAACTATATGTCCTGGCCTGACATATAGAAATGAATACTGTTTTATTGTAAAACCTTTGAGACTATTTTTGTTTTAATTCTGTGAATAATTTTCAGGGCATGTGCTGTGCAGGACAACTCAGACACACCAAAAGCACTGCATTACCCTCTTTTTCTCAACATTTCCAATAAAATCACTCAGTGCCTTATTACCAATCAACAGTTAAGAGGTAACCGATGTGTTCATGAGATTAGTGTGACTATTATAAAGAGTATCGGCTTTCCAGTTTGCTTAGCTCAAAGCTTTTTTATTGAAAATATATTTTGTTACACAAAAACACACATATTGAGAATGTTTAAGTTTTCTTTTAATTATTATGACCTGCCTTGTGTACACAAACAAGTGTATGTTTATATATATATATATATATATAT